CTCGACGAAGGCGTGCGGCGGCGGAAGCGGGGAAGGACTTGATTAATCAGTTAGACCAGGAGGCGCCTGCAGCTGTGGATGAGAACGTAGTAGTGCCTCTTGTTGGTGGTGGCGCAGTTGCAGCAGCAGCGGCGGGAAAAGCTGAGGAGAACAAGGGGGTTGAAGGGGACAAAGAGATGGATTACTGTGGTAGTGGTGGTAGGAGCAACGATAAGGGAAATGCTGGTGATGATGAAGGAACCAGCCCCATTCCGGAGAGGGTTTGTCTTTCCCCCTCTTTATTTTGACGTTGTTGCAACTGAGGTCGTAGCTCGTGATGTTTCATAGTTGTCGGTCTTTTGAGTTTTTCTTGCTAATCAGATTAGAAAATGGATGGTGATTGTTTAATTTTGTAGTCGTAATGCTATTGTTGTTCTAGGCTAGTGCAGGTAAAGGGAGGGAATGATTGCTATATTTTTGTTCTATTCTGATTGGCGTGCTGCAATGTGTGTTTGTTCTGATCGAAAGTTAGGGACTTTTGTGGGATGGAATTTATGATTTTAAGGAGTAAGGCCCAACTTTTGAGTCGATGTTCGTTCTTGAGCTTGTTCTGGTAGGGTCAGATGCTCTGTGCTTGTATACTGCCTATCAGGGTCTAATTGGTTAATAAAAATCGAGTCTTGCTGAGGAAATCGGGTAGTATGGCGAGTGACATTGTGTTCCGTCTTTGTTCTTGACACAGATTGATCTGAGTCCTTGTTGCAGTATCCCGTATGTGCCTCATTGTTGCTGTATTCCGTATGTGCCTTTGATCATGGATCCTGATCTATCGTCTTGTGACAGTTGACTTATATGTATGTCTGCTGATAGCATTGATTCTTTTGTGTGTTCGATGGCTGAATTTGGTAACTTCATGCTAAAAGCTGAATTAGTTATGTACCAAGGAACACAAAAAATTCGCTTTCAATTTTATTAGCTTTTGCCTACTTCTTATTAAGAGCTTCACCTCTGGCAGTAATCATGCTGTTATTATTTTATAAAAGATATACAAGATATGGTCCAGATGGACAATAATTTGTTCATAATTTAAGCTAAGAAGGGGTCTTCTTTTGGTTTGTTTCTTCAAAACATGCTTATTTTGCCTTCCTAATGTGACAGGTTCAGGTTGGGGGTTCACCATTGTACAGAGTAGAAAAGAAGTTGGGGAAGGGAGGTTTTGGTCAAGTATATGTCGGTCGACGTGTTGGTGTGTTAAATGCTAGTGAAAGAACCGGCCCGGGTGCTGTGGAGGTATGAGTATTATCTTGTGTCTTTCTGAAAGTTGTTTGAAGTTGTTTCAGTGTTCGCTTGTTTCTATATAACATCAACCTTCTGACTTTGTACCTCAGGTGGCACTAAAATTTGAGCATAGAACTAGTAAAGGGTGTAATGATGGACCACCCTATGAGTGGCAAATTTACAGGTGGATCATATTTCCCTCGTCTGGTTTGTTGAATTTACAATTATGACTGCGCAGAATATTTCATGTTGATTTTTATTTATGCAGCAACCTTGGTAGCTGTCATGGTGTTCCACGAGTTCACTTCAAGGGACGGCACAGTGACTATTATATTATGGTTAGTGTTGGCCGTTGTTTATGCTTTGTCATTTAGATCCTGCAAAAGGTTTCTATTCTAGACACGCCCTGATACAAAGTATTTTTTAAATCCTGTAGGTTATGGATATTCTTGGGCCAAGCTTGTGGGATGTTTGGAATAATAACTCTCACACGTGAGTTCAAGTCTGCAATAGTTGGTTATAAAGCATTGTGTTTTTTCATTTATTCCCACCGTTCAAATTGGGGTGTTTACTTTTATCGCTAATAATTGCAGGATGTCAATAGAGATGGTTGCATGTATTGCCATTGAAGCAATATCAATATTGGAGAGGATGCACTCTAAAGGGTGAGTATTGCTGGTTAAGATTGATTATCTTGCATTTCGTAGTTCTATACTTCTATTGCGCACAGATAGCATGTATCTTTTGATACACGAAGATTCTTGCATAACGATGTTACTTCAACTAGTTCCCCTTACTGCTTAATTCTATGGAGGCGCATCTTATTCTTTGAATCAATTAGCTAACTGTTGTATCTTTTGCAGTTATGTTCATGGAGATGTTAAGCCTGAGAATTTCCTTCTTGGTCAAGCTGGAACTCCCGATGAAAAGAAGCTCTTCCTAGTGGATCTTGGATTAGGTAAATTGTGAATCGCTTTTTTTGCTTTGTTCTTCTTTTTTTTTCGAAACTTTTATCTTACTGCCTGTTTTTGAATTAGCTGCTAGATGGCGAGATAGCACAACTGGTCGGCATGTTGAGTATGATCAAAGGCCAGATGTTTTCAGGTTAGATGCTTGAACTGTATTTACTGAGTTAAGTTGTCATTTTGCTGTTTTTAGGTATGAAAATCTGTTCTTAAATAAGCTGCTGCTGTTGCTGTTTTTTTTTCTTTGTGTGCAGAGGAACAGTCCGTTATGCCAGCGTTCATGCCCATTTGGGGAGAACTGGAAGCAGGAGAGATGACCTAGAATCTCTGGCTTACACACTTGTTTTCCTTCTCCGTGGTCGTTTGCCTTGGCAAGGATACCAGGTTAGACTTCATGTTTGTTTCGCTTATAATGCTCAAATCAATATGAATTGTTTTTGCGTTATAATTACTTCATCATTCCCTCATCTGAAATATGTTGTTTTTAGGGGGAGAATAAAAGTTTCCTTGTCTCCAAGAAAAAGATGGCCACATCCCCAGAAGCGCTTTGCTGCTTCTGCCCAGTGCCTTTCAAAAACTTTGTTGAATATGTGGTCAATCTAAAGTTCGACGAGGAACCTGATTATGCAAAATGCATTTCATTCTTTGATGGGGTCGTGGCTCCAAATCCAAGTGGGCGCCCAATTAACACAGATGGTGCTCAGAAGGTACTTTCTCAGAAGCTACTGGGCTATTTGAGTTAAGCTTCCTCGAAAACAAAAGAATAAGGAATCTTCTTTTTCTTGACTTGTTGTCTGTCTGTTTGAAGCTCCTTTGTCAGGTTGGTCAAAAGAGAGGACGGCTGACAATGGACGACGATGAAGATGAACAGCCTAAGAAGAAGGTTCGGATGGGGATGCCGGCAAGTCAATGGATCAGTGTGTACAATGCCCGCAAGCCCATGAAGCAGAGGTATGAGTTGTCAGTTTGTGCTGTAACCATTTTGCGATGAAGGGATTACTGTATACGTAGGTTGACGAGTTAGAGAACTGTATATTGTTCATATAATGTTTGTAGGTACCATTATAATGTTGGTGAGCCAAGGTTGATTCATCATATCGAAAAAGGAAACGAGGATGGATTATTCATCAGCTGTGTTGCCTCAGCTCAAAATTTATGGGCACTCATCATGGATGCTGGTACTGGTTTTACCGCACAAGTCTATGAGCTCTCACCACATTTTCTTCACAAGGTACTTCCTCTGTTAACTTAGAACTGCAGAAGTATCTGCCATGACAGCTTTCACTGATTTTTTATTATTATTAACTGATTGGTGAAGGAATGGATAATGGAGAACTGGGAGAAGAGCTATTACATCACTGCCATAGCTGGAGCTACCAACGGAAGCTCATTCGTTGTAATGTCTAAGGGTCAGTATCAATTACCTTACTATTGTCTTTCTTCACATTTTCATTTTGGGTGGAACGCAAGCATATTGATGGACTTGGTATGTTTGGCTGGAATCCAGGTACACCATATCTGCAACAGTCCTACAAAGTGAGCGATTCATTCCCTTCTAAATGGATCAACAAAAAATGGAAGGAAGGGTTCCACGTCACCTGCATGGCTACATCGGGGACTAGATGGGCAATTGTCATGTCTCGGGGAGCAGGATACACTCACCAGGTAGGTCTTGACGTGGTTCTTCACGATTTTTGTTTGTTTGTATAATCTCAATCTAGTCATTTGATGAAAAGACCAATTAACCGTTACCATATTCCTCTTCTCAATTTCAGGTGGTGGAGCTGGATTTCTTGTACCCCAGCGATGGGATCCACCGACGGTGGGACAAAGGGTACCGCATCACGTCCACTGCAGCGACCTTGGACCAAGCGGCATTCGTCCTTAGCATCCCCAAAAGAAAGCCCAACGACGAAACGCAGGAGACCCTTCGAACTTCTTCTTTCCCAAGCTCTCATGTCAAGGTTTGATCTCTGAACCAGAATCTAAACTGTCCCCAACAAATCTGAGTGACTGTTTTATATGCAATCTAATTTCGTGCGCATTTTTTGCAGGAGAAATGGGCGAAGAATCTGTACCTTGCATCGGTTTGTTTCGGAAGGACAGTTTCTTGAGCTGTGTTCGTATGCAGCTGGAGCTGGAAAAAAAGAGGCACGCTACTTTTAACTATCAGGAAATTGTAGATGCCGGTTTGGTGGGGCTTATTGTATAGTGAAAGTGAATTTTATGCGACTCTTAGACTGGATATGATGGAAGAAGCACAGACCTCTCAATTGTTTCTGTGCACAAAAGTAGGACTGTTTTATTTGTTGGTCTTTTTATTTTTCTTCTCAAGTTTTGTACAGTTTATTCAGTTGCGTGTTAATGGCTAAGCTACCGTTTTTGCTATAAGGCAGGAATACCATTTTCCTTCTCTCCCTAGGGCAAAACCTTATGCGTCCTCTCTGAAGATACGAGTTTTACAGAGGGATGCTACTTTGTTCACCATCTGATGCAAATCTACGAGGGAGAAAATACCAAATTTTGAGTTTGATTAGGTTTGCAACATACTTGGAAGAAATGCTGGCCAACGACATAGTAACTACTTAAAACTACTTTGTTATTATAGTAGCTAAATGTATTCAAAATAAATACAACTGGACTTGTTGATTATTAGTTTATTAATCATTCAACAACTTGATCAATACTCCAAAAAAAAAAAAAAAAAAAAAACAACTTAATCATAGGCTTAAGTTGACTTGTTCGTCAAGCAAACCAGCCCCTCTTGATCCACCCCCTCTAGAAAAAGATGCTTTTAGGAGGAAGTTGTATTTCCTCCCTGTTATTACTTTCGTCGCCTGCTGGCCTGCGACATATCCACTCCAATCCAACTTTATCCTGGCATTACATTAGAGTGAAGCCATGAGAAAAACACTTAGAATGGTTTACAAGCAACGAGAAACCTAAGAATGCCAGATTTCTCTTTGCATACCTCGGCATGATCAAGGAGATAGCGAACTAGGAAGATGCAATCACACCTATCCGAATCATGAGGACCCCTTCGGATCTCCACTACGCGAGCATCATAATAAACTGCTTGCTCATATCTTTCCTGTTAAACCACAAAACCATAATTATATTAGTTGGTTTCCTTCTGTTGCTACCTTGCAAGTCGGTGCAGTTTTGAGCATCATTATTATGAGGAAAAGGAAGGGAGCGGCATGTACTCGGAAGCACATGATGAGATCTCCAACTTTGACCAGGTGGCATTCCGAGGGTTCCAGAGGAATAGATCTTTCACGCACACCTGCCTTAAGATTCACCCACTCATCATCGGTATTTCGGAAGCCAGCAAAACGCACTCGCACTTCCTGTGGTAGACCAAGAAAAGTATAAGGGAATTTTCACAGAGGTTCATACTTCATTGTGTTACAAGGAACATATGATATTCTGTAACATAGTTGGATAAGCGAGTTTGAAATGTTAAAGAGTACACTTACAAGCTCACCAGAATATAGAACTCTGTAGTTAAGGAAAGAAGCAACATCGTACCTGGAATCCACATAAACTTGGGTTATAAGTGCCTGTACAATATGCAAAAGCTATTGAATTCCCCTATGAAGGTACTAAAATGCATAATAAAAAAAATATTTGATACTTTTCAACCAGGCAGTACACTAGACTAAAGTACAGTGCTTGTTCTTATTAGAAGATGCTACTCTCACCAAGCAAAGTCTTTTGACGATTTAGCTTCAAATATCAACTCCGAGAGATCAGGAGCCTTTGTCCCTGCATAATCCAATTCAAATTGAAATATCTGTTAGAGAATGGTAGATAAAAGGAAATGCTTTTTCATTCACAAACAGTATATTGTCAAAGGAAGCAACCCTTTGGTTCATTAAAGTTAACAATCCATAGCCTAAAGCTACAACCCATACCAAAAAAAAAAACATGGAAAGTGACTCCTTCTCAGTTAAGCATCACAAACCAACTGATTGTTTGGTAAAAAGTAACATCTTGGATTTTAGTTACACAGATACAACAATAAGTCTAATGGCTAGCCTACTAGGGGAAAAGAGGGGAAGAAAGAAAATGTGTAGGGAAACAATTCAGTTAATCTAATAATCAACTGGGTCTCTAGATCTTACTAGTCAATACAATACACTATTTTCGTGTCAGTATGCGTTAAAATCAAATGACGGCAGGTTATTTTTCCACTAAAAATTATGTTACGTTACGTGGTAACACATTGCCAAAGTTAATAGGTTACCTTCATGGCAGTATCAGTGAAATTATGATTCAAAATGATGTTCTTCCTATCCAGCTCATCATAACCATCAACACAATATTTTCAGTAATCATCTTATAGAAGTATCTTCGGAAATCATGGGCAAGAAACAAGCATATGTTTTCCTTTATATAAGTATTACTTGCCTGATCCAAGCTTTTAGTGTTCAAATACTATGCTAGCAACTTTTATTTTATGTTAAAGCTTATGGGAATGTTCATACGCATTCAGTTGTCGAAATTATCCATAAACAAGACAAAGACATTATTCCTAAAACATCTTAAGAGTTGCATCTTGAAGTTCATTTGACCAATGGTAAGTGCAAACACTGCTGGTTTAGAGAACCTTTACGCTTCTGAAAGCTTATGAGTGGTGCACTCTCCACAACAGCAGCACCATTTGGCAGGACAGCGCAAAATTCAAGATGCAGAGGTTCGGGAGTAGCTTCGGGCTCAGGATGTGTCCGCTTATGTTTGTCCTGAAACCAATTATGCACCTGCAATGCAAAGAATGTCAAGATATGCACTCACAGTCATATTAAGCAGATTCTAAGAAATCCTGAAAGGGAAAGGAACCTCCAAAGAGGGAAAAGGTTAAAGATACCTGCTGCCATGTTATGGCCGGCTTTCCAGCTCGATTTGGCGATAAACTACAAATCATATAGCAAATGTTAGTCAACAATGAGGAAAACAAATATATTGGAATAAAAGAGCTAGGGGGATTAATTACCTAAAACTGGAGGCAAGCCCTTTGCAAAAATCAGGAGCTAATGTCTCTTCCCCAATTTCCTTGTATATATTCTTCATTTCCACCATCTATCATTTTCTCATCACAAACAACCACCGCAGTTCCCGTCAGTCTAAAATCAAGCAAAAATGGGGCTCCCTAAATTTCAACAACCTCACAAGAACAGAACTCAGTCATTGGACAGCCATAGCCTCGCAATACCAAATTGAAACCACCCAAGTCCATATGGAGTTTGGATTTCATGTTTAAGCAGAAGGAAATCCCTTCTACGCCACGAAAATGACAATCGAGACTATCCCATTATCGGAAATGAAACATCGGAAGTTGGGAATTTGGTTGAAACGAGCAATGATTAAGAAAAGTTTATTTTGTGAGGGAGGATTCGGAAACGGAAAAGTAAAGGGTTGATTGACAGAGAAAAAGAAGCTTTTGTCTACCTCAGCGATGGTGAATTCTGAATCGTCTTCCATGGCTGCTGGGCGATATGAGGAAACGGCGGCCAGCTCACAGAAGAAAAGGTTGGACAAGTGTGTCAGTGAGAGTTAGAGTGAGAGTTCTCTATTCCGGTTTTACTTAGCCAACGGCGGGCTGTTAGAAATGCTGGAAAGAAAAGAAGGGATAATTGTATACGATGTCACTTTACTTTGTTACTTGTACAAAATACTGAAATAGTCGTACATAGTCCTAGGGCTGCAAATGAGCCGAGTCGAGTCAAATTTTATCCCATTTTGAGCTCGGTCCGTTAATAACGAGCTGAGCTTGAGCTCCTCGTTAATAAATGAGTCGAGCCGAGTCGAATCAAGCTCGAGCTAGCTTGTTTACTAAAATCTTGACTTTTATTTGGTACTTCTTTTTGTATATCATGATACATAAGATTTATTTTGTTAGCTAATCTCATATTATACTTTTTTGGTATCATATATCCTTTAGTTAATAAATTTAACTACTCCAAATCATGTTATTTCATAGTAACGAAACAATTTATGATACATAATTTCTTTTTAAAGTAGAAAATAAGATATATTTTCTCACATACTGAACGTGTTAAACTTTATATATGGTGAGATATATAATTTAACAACCATATGAATTAAATCATAAGATATAGATTGATTCGTCCATAAGTCGGTAATCGAGTTGGCTCTCTAGTCACATGTTGAGACATATCATGAGCTCTAAACAAGCCAGCTCACGAGTTTAGCTCAACAAGCCACCAAGTCGAGCTAGCTTCGCGAGCTGAACAAAACTAAACTCATGTTCGGCTCATTTATTAACGAGTCGAGTTTCGAACGAGTTTTTCTCGAGTAGAAAGCAGAGCCGCTCGCAAGTAGCTCGGCTCATATGATACTTCAAGGTGCTTTTTCTTGATACCTACAATGGTTTGGTTCACACCGAACTGCATCTGACCAAAATAATATTGGGACTCAACCATGTTACTTTACTTTGTTATTCACTTATTTGTACAAAATAATCATATAGCTTCTATTTTGTACAAACAGAAACTAATAGTATAATAGTTTCGAACTTCAAGTTACTTTTTCGTGATACATGCAACAGTTTGTTTCAGACCGAACCGCATCATATCGAATAGAAATTGATAGTATAATAGTTTCTAAGCATGCAAAACTAATTTTGGAAATGACATTTTACTACCTAAATTTTAATATACTTTACATTGGGCTGCGACAACCAAGTTGGTTATCTGTGCTGCCATAGATTTTCTTTCTTTAGGGGATTGGGCTTCGCCTCATTGTTGTTCATTGTAACACTCCGACTTTTAGGTTCAGGTTCGACCACAATAGATGAACGATTGGTTTGACGGTTAAGTACCAAGGATTGCAATGGTGAATTAATAATAATAACTGTGATTATATTATTATTACTATTAATTTTTAAAAAAAATATAGAACCGGCTCAACTACCCAAACCCCACGCAATAATCCCCAAGACCCTTTCTCCCCCGGCGCCACAACGAGAAGCTAAGGGAGGCAACATTTGAGTGTGAGGGATTTTTCTTGGATTTTAAGAGACTGGGAGGGATTAAAGAGGGGTCTAGGACGAGCAGAATGAAGTGGGCGCTCAGAATTAATTGGACCAAAGGGAATATTAATTTGAGAGCAGCAGTCGGCGCCTACATGGAGAAGCAGAGGTACGAGCCTTGTGAACCTTATTGGTTGTTCAATGAATTGAGGAGAAGGGGTATCGAGGGATGGCAAAAAAACCCGAACTTACGGGTATCTTATCCTATCTAATTCGGTTAACGCGGGTTTTATCCACGTTGACGGATTTTGGGTTGGGTTCGAGTTTAGATATGTACACTATTCACTAGGTTGGGTTGGGTTTGAGTTTGAGTTTAGAAATAGCCGATTCATGGACATCCGCCTACACTTATTCCGTCGCCCTACTCTCTCCAAACCCTATCCTAATTCTAATTTTCCTAAATCTAACTCACTACACTTATTTTGTGTGCTTTTATTTACTGTAATTGTGATATGTTTGGTTTTTCTAGATTGATATTTTATGTATGGATAATTTGTATGGGAAATTGATGTTTGAATTTTATTTTGATAGGAACTTGATATTGTAAATTTTTTACTACAAAAGCCCATGGGTACCCATGAACCTGCTGATACCCAGCGGGTTGAGTTTGAGTTTTTCAAATCCAATAAGTTTTACTCCGAATTTTTTTTACGGATAAACCCATGAGTTTGGGTTTAGCAAAATCCAACCCATTGTGATATGCTTGTTGTTGATGTTGTACTGCTTTCCATGTTCGGTTCGCTAAAGATGGTGGACAACCACAAATTAGAAAGATGGTGGCCCACCTCATTGATGGGATGAAGAGAAAGCTCCTACGTGAGCTGATTTGCAAGGATGATGGATTGAATGATGTGGGTTGCGAACATGGAGCATTGAAACTAGTGTTGTCGGAGGAAGAAACCTTGAGTCAGTCGACTTTCAACTAGTGTTGTCGGAGGAAGAAACCTCGAGTCAATCGACTTTAACAGTAAAGTGAGTGTAAATGGAATAAAATTTCAGTTGAGATCTTTTAGTTTATGTATTTAATTATTTATAGTAGTATCGTTAATTTTTTAGTTATGCACGATTATGTGTGTGATGCATCCCACCGTCTATTTAAGGTGGAGGCACTCGTTGTGCTATATATGAGAATGTATGTTTGTAATGTATGGTTGATTGTAAAGGAACCTCCGGGCGGTTAGGCAACCATTACTGGAAGCGGTAGATGGTCTGATCACTGTTGAACGACGATACGTCACGCAACAGTTGATCGAAGATATTGTGTCACTACTGGACGACGATACATAACTGACTCGCACGAAACTACAACACAATTAAACCCCAATTAGAGCCCAAGTTTTTAAACTCTAATCGGGTGTAGTATAGGGCAAGTATCTATATATCGGCCCGGGCCGGTCCGTCTACCCCTACTTCGATTGTTGAAATCATTATCTAGCGATAAAACTATGGTTTAAATATTTACCAATTGAAATAAAAGAAAACAAAGGTACTTTGGTTTGAAAACTCTTTTCTTGGAAAGTCACTTGGGTTTCGCTTCCCCCTAACCGCTACCATGCTAAGTGGGTTGGAACGATTGCCTTGGGCACGTTAATCGTAAACCGCAGAGGAAAGTGTATGTGGTCGGAGACCACAGTCTCGATTGCTAAACCGAGGTGAGGATGAAAGGTCGTGTCACTCGACCCTCTCGGTTTAGACAATCGGTAATCGACTTACTTCCTCACTCAACTCTAAGGTCGGACGTTTTAACCACGATTAATCGACTTGTTCAATTCAATATTGAGGATTGCCCTAACTCAACCTAGTTTAGGTGGCTTGAAAGCGGAAGGAAAACCAACTCGATTGAGTCTCCTTAGAAAAGGGGATTTTCCTCTCTAAACTAGGCTAAGTTGGCAAATTAGATGACTAGCACCTAAATGCACAAACTTAGGGGTGCTAAGCACAATTATGCACAATCCCTAGGATGTTAAGCACAAAATATGCACAACCCCTAAGTTGCTAAGCACAAGCATGCAAAATCATGGTGAAAAATACCTCAACAGTAAATTGAACAATACCCAATATCAATCATCCAAACCACATACAAGAAAACTACATGGTAGGGTTTAGGGTTTCACTACCCCAAGTGGGAGGAGGACTACTCCATGGAAGAAGTGGGAAGAACAAAGGGGGAAAAGGTGGAAACCATCTTTTGGGGATGCCTCCTCTCTTCTTCAACCTTGAGCTGAGATTTCCTTGGGGAAATCTTCCCAAAACCTCCTTTGAAGCCAAACCCTAACCTCTTCTTCTCTTTGGTTCTGTTTCTCTCACTAAAAATGCAGAAGAAGGTATTTCTCTCACAAAAGTGGCTCCTCCTTGCAGCTAAGCTTTTAAACATGAGAAGAGCTGAGTTCATGGCCTAAGTTCACGGCCATGAACCATCAAAAGCGTCCCTGAACTCACGCGTTGCGCCAAAACGCTCCGCATCGATCATGGCAGTTCACGGGCAACTGCTTGTGTTCATGGTCTTAGTGACCGTGAACTCGCCTTGCGTTAGTAACCTTCAATTTGGCTCTGGACACCTTGCGCTTCACGGTCAACTCCCCTTCTTCACGGTCTTGCACGACCGTGAACTCCTGCCTTTAGCCATGAACTTGCGTTTTTTCACCTCTTCTCCCGGTTTTCGATCCTTTTCGCCAATCCTTCGACTCCGAGGCTGGTTCAGCCTGTTAAATCCTGAAAAGTACTCAAACGTGAAGAACCTCGCGTAAAACCAACCTCCAATGAGAGAATTTGGCACAAACATCTAAGCAAACCGAGGGCAAAATATGTGCAATTAGGCCCGAATCAGTAACGCAGTAGTTGATCGGGCATGGGCTGGACGACGATACATAACACAGTACCATTGCCAAGTTAGGTATGCAACTGGGCGGCGATATGTAATGCGTTTGGCATACCAAGGCGGGGATATCAGATGGGGGAGACGTAACGCGGTAGTCCATATTGTCATAATTAGGAGTTAAAGATAGAAGTAAAGAACTTCTATAAGTTAAGGATAGAAGCAAAGGACTTCCATAAGATAAGGATAGGAGTAAAGGTCTTCTATAGGTTGTTCTTTTAGAATAAATGATAGAGGATGAAAGCGAGAATGACTTTCATCTAAGGGAAGAAACTCTAATAATGTGTTAGTAAGGATTTGCTTAGGTAAAGATTTTAGGAAGTAACGACGAGACTGACCCCTTCTTACTCACCAGGTTTAGGAAGGGTATGTGGTTGAAGTTTCTGAGAAGAGGCAGAGCGAGACGAGTAGCTGCACCAGCATTGGCGGGATCCCCGAAGCTCAGCAAGGAGTTAGAGCTAGAGTTAGTCTAAATATTTTTGTACGTGATTATGAGTATATAAACTGGAGGTTCGGGAATTCTGCCTTTAAGTTATTTTATTGACTATGGATTGA